CATATCATAATATTTGACAGTTTAGTCCTTTCATTTTTGAAATTATTTTTATTTTTCTAACGTTTTAACTTTATTTTAGATTCAGGGGGTATATGCATAGCTTTGTACCCAGGTATATTGTGTCATGCTGAGGTTTGGGGTACATATGATCCTATCACACAGGTACTTATTGAAACACTCAACAGTTAGTTTGTCAACATTTGCCACCCTTCCCTCCCTCCTTCCTATAGTCGTCCCCAGTTTCCACTGTTGCCATCTTTATGCCTCTGAGTACCAAATGTTTAGCTCCCACTTATACATGAGAAAATGAAATACTTGGTTTTCTATTCCTGCATTAATTCACTTAGGATAATGATCTCCATCTTCATTCATGTTGCTGCAAAGAACATAACTTCATTTTTTATGACAGTGTAGTATTCCATGATGTACATGTACCACAGTTTCTTTATACATTCCACCATTAATGGGCACCTATGTTGATTCCATGTCTTTGCTATTTAAATAATGCTGGGATTAACATGCAAGTGCTTGTGTCTTTTTGGTGGAAACATTTTTCCTTTGAATATATACCCAGTAATGTAATTGTGGAGTCAAATGGCAGTTCTGTTTTAATTTATTTGAAAAGTCTCCAAACTGTTTTCCAGAGTGGCCGAACTAATTTAAATTCCAAAATGAGAGTGTATGAATGTTCCCCTTTCTACTTTTTATTTTAAGTTCTGGGGTACATGTACAGGTGTGCAAGTTTGCTACATAGGAAAACATGTGCCATGGTGATTTGCAGCACATATCAAACCATCACCTAGGTATGAAGCCCAGCATGCATTAGCTATTTTTCCTGATGCTCTCCCTTCTGCCCCCAATATAGGCCTCAGTGTGTGCTGGCATGTTTTCCCCTCCCTGTGTCAATGTGTTCACAATGCTCAGCTCCCACTCACAGTGATAGTTATTCAGGAACAATTTGTAAATTTCCATGAATTTGTGTAATATTGAGAGATCTTCTTTTTATTGATTTCTATTTTTATTTCCTTGTAGTCTCATAGTATGGTTGGTATAATTTAAATGTTTTTGAATTTATGGAGATGTGATTCTTGGCTAAACATGTGGTCAATCTTGGTGCATGTTACTATTTCCAGATGAGATGATTGCATATTCTGTAGTTAATGGGTGGAGTATTCTGTAGATCTTTCTTTGGTCTAATTGGTCATATGTAAAATGTAATTCCAGAATTGTTTTGTTAATTTTCTTGATTGATGTTATGTATAACATTGTAAGTGTGGTGCTGAAGTCCCTCACTATTATTGTGTTTCTCTTGAAGTCTTTTTACAGGTCTAGAAGTACTAGTTTTATGAATCTGGTGCTCCAGTGATGGATGTGTATATGTTTAGGATAGGTAAATATTCTTGATGAATTGAACACTTGCATCCCTGGGATGAAGCCTGATTGATCATGATGGATAAGCCTTTTGATGTGCTGTTGCATTCATGTGGCCAGTATTTATTGACGATTTTTGTATCTGTGTTCATCTTGGATATTGGCCTGAAGTTTTATTTTGTAGTTGAGTCTCTGCCAGGTGTTATTATCAGGTGATGTTAACCTCTTAAAATGAGTTAGGGAGGATTCCATTCTTCTGTATTGTTTTTAATACATTTAGAAGTGCAAGCTCCTCTTTGTACATCTGGTAGAATTTGACTGTGAACTCATCTGGACCTGGATTGTTTTTGGTTAGTGGGCTATTAATTGCTGCCACAACTTTACCCCTTGTTATTGGTCTGTTCAGGGTTTCAAATTCTTCCTGGTTTAGCCTTGGGAGGATTCAAGTGTCCAGGACTGTATCAATTTCTTCCAGATTTACTGGTTAATGTGAATAGAAATGCTTGTGTTAATCTCTTATGGTAGTTTGAATTTCTGAGGAATTGGTGGTAATATCCCCTTTATCATTTTTTATTGCATCTATTTGATTATTTATCTTTTCTTTTTTATTAGCCTGGCCAGAAGTCTGTCTATTTTGTTGATCTTTGCAAATAACAATCTCCTGGATTTATTGATTTTTTGAAGGGCTTTTTCTGTCTCTATCTCCTTCAATTCTGCCTGATCTTAGTTATTTCTTGTCTCCTGCTAGCTCTTGAGATTTTTTAAATCTTGCTCCTCTAGCTCTTTCAATTTTGATGATAGGGTGTTAATTTTAGATCTTTTCTTCTTTCTCATGTGGGCATTTATTGCTATAAATTTCCCTCTAGGCACTGCTTTAAATGAGCCCCAGAGATTCTGGTATGTTGTGCATTGATTCTCATTGGTTTTAAAGAACATCTTTATTTCTGCCTTCTTTTCATTTTTTATCCAGTCATCATTCAGGAGCCAGTCATTCAGTTTCCATATAGTTGTGTAGTTTTGAGTGGTTTTCTTAATCCTGAGTTCTAATTTGATTGCACTTGGTCTGAGAGCCTGGCTGTTATGATTTTTCTTCTTTTTCATTTACTGAAGAGTGATTTACTTCCAATTATGTGGTCAATTTTAGAGTAACTGTGATGTGTTGCTGAGAAGAATGTATATTCTGTGGATTTGGGGTGGAGAGTTTCTAGATGTCTATTAGTTGTGCTTGTTTCAGATCTGCTTTTAAGTCCTCAGTATTCTTGTTAATTTTCTGTCTGGTTGATATATCAGTGGAGTGTTGAAGTGTCCCACTATTATTTTGTGGGAGTCTACATCTCTTCATAGGTTTTTAAGAACTATCTTATGTATCTGTGTGCTCCTGTATTGGGTGCATATATACTTAGAATAGTTAACTCTTCTTGTTGCATTGATCTTTTTACCATTATGTAATGCCCTTTGTCTCTTTTGATCTTTGTTGGTTTAAAGTCTGTTTTACCAGAGACAAGGATTGGAACCCCTGCTATTTTTTGTTCTCTGTTTTCTTGGTAGATCTTATTCCATCCCTTTATTTTGAGTCTATGTGTGTCTTTATGTGTGAGATGGGTCTCCTGAATACAGCACACCGATGAGTCTTGATGTTTTTATCCAGATTGCCAGTCTGTGTTTTTTGAGTGGGACATCTAGGTTGTTTACATTTAGCATTAATATTGTTAGGTGGGAATTTGATCCTGCCATTTTATTACTGGCTGGTTGTTTTGCCCATTAGTTGATGCAGTTTATTCATTTTGTTGTTGATCTTTACCATTTGATACGTTTCTGCAGTGTCTGATACTGGTTGTTCCTTTCTGTATTTAGTGTTGCCTTCAGGAGCCCTTGTAAGGCAAGTCTGGTGGCAATGAAGTGTCTCAGCAATTGCTCACCTGTAAAGTATTTCACTTCTTCTTCACTTATGAAGCTTAGTTTGGCTGGATATGAAATTTTGGGTTGAAAGTTTTTTCTTTAAGGGTATTAAATATTAGCCCTCACTCTCTTCTGGCTTGTATGGTTTTTGCCAAGAGTTCCTCTGTGACTCTGATGGGCTTCCCTTTGTGGGTGAGTTGACATTTCTCTCTGGCTGCCCTCAGAATATTTTTCCTTCATTTCAACCCTGGTGAGTCTGATGATTATGTGCCTTGGAATTGCTCTTCTTGTGAAGCATCTTTGTGATGTTCTCTGTATTTCATGTATTTGAAAGTTTCCCTGACTTGCTAGGTTGGGGAAGTTCTCCTGGGTGTTATCCTGGAGAATGTTTTTCAGCTTGAATTCATTTTCTCTGTCACATTCAGGTACACCCATCAAGTGTAGATTAGATCTTTTTACATAATCCCATATTTCTTGGAGGCTTTGTTCATTTCTTTTCACTCTTTTTCTCTTTTCTTGCCTTCTCATTTTATTTCATTTAGTCGATCTTCAATCTCTGATATCTTTCTTCTGCTTGATGATTCAGCTATTGAAAATTGTGTATGCTTCATAAAGTTCTTGTGCTGTGTTTTTCAGCTCCATCAAGTCGTTTATGTTCTTCTCTAAGTTGGTTATTCTTGTTAGCATTTCATTTAACCTTTTTTCAAGATTTTTAGTTTCTTTGCATTGGGTTACTACATGTTCCTTTAACTCAGAGAAGTTTGTTATTACCCACCCTCTGAAGTTTATTTCTGTCAGTTTGTCAAACTCATTCCCCATCCTGTTTTGTTCCCTTGCCTGTGAGGAGTTGTGATCCCTTGGAGGAGGAGAGGCATTCTGGTCTTTGATGATTTCATCCTTTTTGCTCTGGTTTCTTCCCATTTTCACGGATTTATCTACCTTTGATCCATGGAGCTGCTTGAGAAGGCAGTCTGTTTCTTGTCTCCCTGCAAAGGCATTGCTGGGCTGCCTCAGACTCAGCCTGGCTTCTGTGTAGGCTTCCACTGGCTTTTGTTTACACAGGTGAGATTAGAGCCACCTTTGCAATGGCAGATGACCTTTCCCTCACTGAACTGAATCATCCCGGATGGTGCTGTAACTGAAATGCTGGCTGAGAAACTGAAGTGAGAGGGCTTCAGTTGTTGGCCTTGGTGGGGTTGGGACCTGCCAAGCTGTATCACCTGTCTCCCTGCTTTCAGTTCTCCCTCTTTCTAGGGGTGGGTAGATCTGTGCCACAAGTGTTCTCAGTGCTAGCCAAAACCTCCACCTTGTTCTGTGCCAACAACTTGTGGTGCTGAACTGGCAGGATCTGTCTCTCAGATCTGTGCTGCTAACTTTTGGCACTGCTAAGCCTGGTGGCATTCTCCTGTACTGTGGGTTGCAAAGGGCATAAGAGCACAGTATCTGAACTGGAGTGCCAAATGTGTAAAGTCCCTGATCCTCCCATTGGTTATGCTTCCTGGTGAGGCAGAGCCCTTCCCTGCCTGGGTTTGCCCTCCCTGGGCTACACCCACTGTCCAACCAGTCCCATTGAAATGAACCTGGTACCTCAGTTGGAAATGCAGAGATTGTTCATGTTCTGTGTCTCTCTCACTGGGATCTGTACTCCGAAGCTGTTCCTATTAGACTGTCTTGGCGGAAGTCCTGTGATTGTTTACTTTTAGTCTGTTTATCTCTTTCTTTTTTTCATGAAAAAATATAAATGCTTTACTAATTTGCATGATATCTATGCAGAGATGATATGTTAATCTTCTTTGTATTGTTTTAGTTTTTGTATATGTGCTGCCAAAGTGACCACAGAATTTTAAATTTAGAATTCAATATTCTATAGCAAACTTTGTCCTGTCCCTAGATATAACCATACAAGGCTCCAAATGCATTTTCACATTTTGAGTACTTCCGTGTGAGTGGCTAATCTTTAATCATGAATTTCTACTTAATCAGAAGTACCTTTAATATTGTAGAATGTAATAGTAATATAATTCATCTTAGACAATGAAAATGAAAATTATTTGAAATAAAAAGGTAATATTACACTTTATTAATACTAGTTGAAAAAATTCAAAAGTTCATTATCAATAAAAGTCATATTTTGAGGCTTCAGGAATGATTAAACTTTGTATTGAGATTCTGATTATTGTAATGAAATAATATTTCAGATCCTAAAATAACTTGATATTAATATAAACATGTTGGTGTGTCAAATTATATTTTAGAAAAAATGGATTATTAAGAGTCAAAATCAAGCAGTGTAACTGAAATGTGAAATAACATTTTTTTTTACATTTATACATTTCTAACCTTTATTGTTTTAGTGATAAAACACTTGTTTGGGAAATTAGGAAAGACACCGGAATTAGACAAAATACCCAAATTATCAATAATTTCATTGTGTACAGAATATTTCTGTTCAAATAATAAGAAATAGTCTAGATTAATGAATGCCTTCATGTATTTTTTACCTGTTTTAATTAGTATCATTTCTTTATCACTGGGCAACAGTACCTCTTCATCAAACTATATATTTGTTTTAATTATCTACTAGAACAACCTGAGACATCGATTTTTGAAATAATTTCAAACTTAAAAAAACAACTTTATGAAGAGTATGAAAAGTATATATCTTCTTTACTCAGATTCCCCAATTGTCAATGATTTATGGCCTATGCTCTCTCTCTCTCTCTATCTCCCCATCTATCTCCCCATAACTATATGGTTAGATAGAAATATTTTATTATTTTTTTTCTGAATAAGTTAAGAATATGGTTCAAATCTGATGCTGCAAACTTAGAAAATTACAGCTTACATTTGCCAAAAATAATGACTCTTTTTATCATACATACCACCATTACAACCTTCAAATTAGTAAACATTGCCATTCATTTAACAGATTCCATTCAAATTCTGCTAATGGTCTCAATAATTTCTACTTTATATTTTTGGTTTAGGATCTGTCAATTGTTTTATAAACTCTGAATTTTTAAGTTGTTTAGTTCAGCCTTTATAATATTTTTGTGTCTATGGATTTCATGGATCAAAACCTATTCTAAAATTTTATTTAATTGCAATATTAATAGCCACTTGAAATAAGTTCATGCTATTTTTCTTTTAAGTTTAGGTGATGGATTTTCCCAAATCATTAATAAAGTCTTTTATTTTGCTTACTAGTTTAAAACATTGCCCTAAATGTATGCTGAAATGACATATGTATATCTTTTTCTTTCTTAATTATTATTCTCTTAACTTTTAGGTTCAGGGGTACATGTGCAGGTTCATTATGTAGGTAAACTGAGTATCACAGAGGTTTAGAATACAGATAATTTTTGTCACTCATGTAATAAGTATAGTATCCAATAGGCATTATTTCTGATCCTGTCCCTCTTCCCACCCTCCATCCTCAAGTATACCTGAGTATTTGTTGTTAGCTGTTTAGCATTCATACCTTCTCATTGTTTAGTCTTCACTTATAACTGAGAATATGCAATATTTGTTTTTCTGATCCTGTGTTAATTTGCTTCTAATAATGGCCTCCATCTCTACCCAAGTAGCTGCAAAGGACATAAGCTTGTTAATTTTAATGGCTGCATAGTAGCCCATGGTGCATTAGCTTTTTTTGTGTGCTGCTGGATTTGGTTGGCTATTATTTTTTTCAAAACTTTTGCAGCTATGTTCATCAAAAACATTGGCTTCAAGTGGTTTTTTTTGTTTGTGTTTTGCTGTTACTGCTGTTTCATTTGTTTGTTTGCCTGTTAGGTTTTGGTTTCAGGATGATACTGGACTCATAGAATGAGTTGGGAAGAGGCTCCTACTCTTCATTATTTTGGAATAGCTTCAGTAGTGATAGCAACAGTTCTTCTTTGTACGTCTGGTATAATTCAGCTATAAATCTATTTGGTCTTGTCTTTTTTTTGGTTAGTAGATTAGTTACTACTGATTAAATTTCAGAACTTGATATTGGTCTGTTCAGAGTTTCAATTTCTTCTTGCTTCAATCTTGGGATTGTGTATGTGTCCAGGAATTCATCTCGTTCTTGTGTATTTTTTAGTTTTTATGCATGGAGGTGTTCATAGAAATCTCTTATGGTTTTTCTTTTATTTCTGTGTGGTCACTGCTAACGTCCCCTCTGTTATTTCTAATTCTGTTTATTTGGAGCTTCTTTTGTTTTCTTTGTAAGTCTAGCTAGTGGTGTATCTATCTTATAAATTTTTTCAAAGAACCATCTCCTGAATTTGTTGATCTCTCACACTGTTTTCTATGTCTCAATTTATTTCAGTTTGGATCTGATTTTTGTTACTAATTGTATTCTGCTAGGTTTGGGATTGATTTGCTCTTGCTTCTCTAGTTCTAGTGGTGATGTTAGATTTTAATTAGAAATATTTCTAACTTTATGATGTGAATGTTTAGTGCTATAAATTTCCCTCTTAACATTGCCTTAGCTGTGTCCCAAAGATTCTGCTATATTGTACCTTTGCTCTCATTAATTTCAAATAACTTCTTCTTGATTTGTATTGTATTGTTTACCCAAAAGTCATTCAGAAGAAGTTTGATTTCCATATGATTTTATAGTTCTGAGTAGTTTTCTTAGTATTGATTCCAATTTTTATTTTGTTGTGGCCTGAGATGGTGGTCGGTATGATTTTGGTCCTTTTGAATTTGCTGAGTATTGCTTTATATCTGAATATTGATCTTCGAGTATGTGCCGTGTGGTGATGAAAAGAATGTACATTCTATTGTTTCTGGTTGGAGATTTTGTTTATTATGTCCATTTGGTCAAGAAGTGAGTTCAGGTTTTGATTATCTTTGTTAACTTTCTGCCTTGATGATCCGTGTAATACTGTCATATGGATGCTAAAGTCTCTCACTATTATTGTGTGGAAATCTAAGTCTCCATGCATGTCTTTAAGAGCTTGCTTTATTAAATGGGTGCTCCTATGTTGAGTGCATATAAATTTAGAATAATTAGGTCTTCTTGTTGAATTGAAGCTTTCAGCATTATAAAATGCCCTTCTTTGCCTTTGTCGATCTTTGCTGGTTTAAGGTCCATTTTCTTTGCAATTAGAATTGCAACCCCTGCTTGCTTTCTGCTTTCCATTTGCTTTGTAGATTTTTTCTTGATCCCTTTATTTTGAGTGGATGAATGTTACTGCATGTGAGATGGGTCTCTTTAAGACAACATACCATTAGATCTTGCTTCTTTAACTAGCTTATTATTGTGTCTTTTTTAATTGAGGCATTTAACCTCTTTACATTCAAAGTTAGTATTGATATCTGTAAATTTGATCCTGTCATCACGTTGTTGACTGGTTATTATACAGACTTGTTTGTGTGTTGCTTTATATTGTTAGTGGTCTGTGCACTTAAGTGTGTTTTTGTAGTGGCTGTTAATGACCTTTCTTTTCCATATTTACTGCTTCTTTCAGGACCTCTGATAAGGTAGGTCTGGTGGTAATACATTTTCTCAGCATTTGTTTCTTTGAAAGGGAACTTATTTCTCCTCGGTTATGAAGCTTAGTTTGGTTGGCTATGACATTCTTCCTTGAAACTTATTTTCTTTAGTATTGAATATAGGCCCCCAATGTCTTCGGGCTTTTAGAGTTTCTGCTAAAATGTCTTCTGTTGATCTGATGTGATTCTCTCTGTAATATACCTGGCTCATCTCCCTAGCTGTCTTTAATATTTTTTCTTTCATTTTGACCTTGGAGAATCTGATAATTATGTTTCTTGGGGGAGGACTTCTTGTGTGATATTTTACATGAATTCCCTGAATTTCCTGGATTTGAATATTGGCTTTAGTAGCAAGGTTGGAAAAGTTTCCAAGGATGATATTCTAAAAGATGTTTTCCACGTTGCTTTCTTTCTTTCTATCTCTTTCAGGGATGCCAATGAGTCATAGGTTTGGTCTCTTTACACAATCCTATATTTCTCCAGCTTTTTTATTCTTTTAATTTTTTTTTTGTTTATTGTTGTCTGACTGAGATATTTCAGAAAGCCAGTTTTTGAGCTCTGAGGTTTTGTTCTCACCTTGGTCTTATCTGTTCTTAATATTTGCACGTTTATTATGGAATTCCTGTGGTGTGCTTTTCAGCCTTATCAGATCTGTTTGGTTCTTTTTTATAATGGCTGTTTCAACTATCTTTATTTCTATATATATTGTGCATTCTATTTCTGTCATTTCAGCCATTTTAGCCCTGTTAATAAACCTCTCTGGGGAACTAGTGTAGTTCTTTGGAAGGAATATGGCACTCTGGCTTTTTGAGTTGCCAGTATTCTTATACTTTTTTTTTTCTCATTTGTGTGGCCTGATGTTCCTTTAATATTTGAAGTAGTTGTTTTTCTTTTTGTTTCCTTTTTCTTTTCTTTCTTCTTCTTCTTTTTTTTTTTTCCTTTTTCTAAGACAGAGTCTTGCTCTGTCACCCAGGCTGGCGTGCAATGGTGTGATTTCTGGGGTGCAATGACATGATTGCTGGAGTGCAATGACATAATTGCTGGAGTGCAATGGCATGATCTTGGCTCACTGCATTCTCCACCTCCTGAGTTCATTTCTCCTGCCCCAGCCTCCTGAGTAGCTGAGATTACAGGTGTTTGCCACTGCTCCCAGCTAATTTTCAAATTTTTAGTAAAGGCAGAGTTTCATCATGTTTGTCAGGCTGGTCTCGAACTCCTGATCTCATGATCTGTCCACCTCTGCCTCCCAAAGTGCAGGGATTACAGGTGTGGGCCACCGTGCCCGGCCTTGAAGTAGCTGTTTTTAAAATTGATTTTATTTCTTCTTTGAAGGGGGTTTGATTATGGTATAAG